TGGGGTCTCGTGTGGCCTCCTGGGGCCTCCTGGGGCCTCCTGGAGCCTCCTTCTCCTGGGGAGGATTCGTGCCCCAGGAGAGGCCAAATCTATAGGAACAGACGTACACAAAACATTGCAGAGTGGAGCCGCAGGAGAAGGGCAATGTTTTGGAACACACACGTAAAGCACCAAGGAGTTGTACACACATGGGAGGCCCAATCTAAAGGAAACTCCGTAAAACACTTAGGATTGGATACGCAGGAGAAGGACAGTCTTTAGAAACATACGTAACACACCAAGGATTCGTGCTCCAGGTGAGGCTCAATCAAAAGGAGCATGCGTAAACACATGGGATTGGAGTCACTCCTGTGGCCTCCTGATGCCTCCTGCTCCTGGGGGTTCCTGTGGCCTCCTGGACTCTCTTGGGGCCTCCTGGGGCCTCCTGGAGCCTCCTGGGGCCTCCTGTGGCCTCCTGGCATCCTGATACCTCCTGGTACCTCCGGTGGCCTGCTGGAGCCTCCTGGAGCCTGCTGGAGCCTCTCTCTGGCATCCTGAAGAAGATCCGTGTCCACGAGTCTGACCAGCAACATGAGCAAACCGCTCGAGACATCCTCACAATCTGGCCCCCCTTGGGGGGCGAACATGAGCGCCTCGCTCGCGACATCCTCTAAATCTGCTCCGAAAGCGGGTGATGTTGAAGGTAAACCGCTCCAGGCATCCCCGCTATTTTGGCGCGAACGGAGGAGTGAGATACCCCCCTGGCGGCTCCCCCCCTTGGGGGTGCCGAAACCTGCGCCTCGCTCGAGACATCTTCAGAACTTGCTCCGCCATCATCATCATCATCATCATCATCATCATCATCATCATCATCATCATCATCATCATCATCATCATTATTATAATCATCATCATCAGCAACAGCAGCAGAAACAGCAACAGCAACATCAACAGCAACAGCATCATCATCACCATCATCATCATCATGATGATGATGATCATCATCATCATCATCATCATTCTCATCATCATTATCATTGTACTCATCGTTATCGTCCTCATCATCACCACCATCACCACCGTCAGCATCATCAGCAGCAACATCATCATCGTCATCATCATCACCATCGCAGGAGAACGTACCATGACATACGTTATACGAAATATCACACAATAACAAACACTAGCATGACATACCATATCATAGCTCATCATGGCGCAACAGACACATCATACCATGACATACATACCATACCATAGCATACCATACTATGACATACCACATACTACAACATGCAACGCCATGGCACACCATAACATAACATGACCTAGCATACCATACTATACCATATCATAAGACAACATGAGGAGGAGGAGAAGGAGGAGGAGGAGGAGGAGGTGTGAGCTCGGAGCGGTCGGAGTAAGAACAACCTCCCCCATCCATTGGATATGCGGAATGATACGATTGATATTAATACTAATACTAATGATAACAAGGTGGTGATGATGCTGATGCTGATGCTGATTCTGATGATGATAATGATGATGATGATGATGATGATGATGATGATGATGATGATGATGATGGCCAGGAGGAGAGCGGATGAGGAAGACGAAGAGGAGGATGGGAGGAGGAGGAGGGAGCAGAGGGGATGGGAAATACATGAGGAACACGAGCAGCAGCAGGATAAGGAGGATGAGGAACAGGAGGAGGATGAGGATGAGGATGAGAATGAGGATGAGGAGGAGTAGGAGGAGGAGGAGGAATCTGGTTATACTGATGTCGATGACGGCGGTGTTCATGATGAAGACGACGACGACGCTGATGATGAGATTGTGATGACGACGATGTTGATGTTGATGCTGACGATGATGATGACGATGATGATGCTGATGATGATGATGATGATGCTGATGCTGATGCTGATGCTGATGCTGATGCTCATGATGCTGCTGCTGATGATGATGACGACGATACTGATGATGCTGATGATTATGGTGATGATGATGCTGATGATGATGTTGATGATGATGATGCTGCTGATGATGAAGATGCCGCTGAATATGGTTACGACGTTTAGGATGCTCTCATGGCGTTGATGACGCTGGCGATGATGGTGGCGATGCTGATGATGATTAGCAGATGGTGAGGAGGAACTCCTCCTCCTCCTTTTCATTTTCCTTTCTCCCCCCTTTCTCTCCCCTTCTCGGCCCCCTCGTCCCCCTCCCCCCCACCTCTCCTTCCTCGCCACTCCGCCCTCTCCCCCCCCGCCGTCCTTCCTCCTCCCCCCAGTTCTCTCTCTTTTTCGTTCTCTGCCCAGTCAGGGTTCAGACAGGAGGAGGAGGAGGAGGAGGAGGAGGAGGAGGAGGAGGAGGAGGAGGAGGAGGAGGAGGAGCATGTCTGGGTCTGGCGACGACACCACTCCCCCAAGGTTGGGCGACCGAAGGGCTACGCCGGCCCCGAGTCGGCGGGCGGCGGCCAGCTGGCGCTCACCGGCGGAGCGCCCGGTGGGCTCGGGGACCTGCCGCCGCCGCGGCGCGCCGCCGTTGCCGTGTCTCGTCGACTCGTCGTCGTCGTCGTCGTCGTCGTCGTCGTCGTCGTCGTCGTCGTCGTCGCCGTTCGTCGTCGTCGTCGTTCGCCGTTCGTAGTCGTCGTCGTCGTCGTCGTCGTCGTCGTCGTCGTCGTCGTCGTCGTCGTTCGCCGTTCGTAGTCGTCGTTCGCCGTTCGTAGTCGTCGTCATCGTCGTCGTCGTCGTCGTCGTTCGCCGTTCGTAGTCGTCGTTCCCCGTTCGTAGTCGTCGCCTTTGTTGTCGTCGTCGTCGTCGTCGTCGTCGTCGTCGACATCGTCGTTGTCGTCCAGTCGTCGTCGTCGTCGTCGTCGTCGTCGTCGTCGTCGTCGTCGTCGTCGTCGTCGTCGTTCGCCGTTCTCCGTTCGTCGTTATCGTCGTCGACGGTCTCGTTGCACCCGCGCTGGCCTGGTGATGGGGCAGTCTTGGGGCCGTCTGGGGACTCCGAACATTTTTGGGCCGTCTTTGGAGGTCCTGGGCCGTCTGGGGACTCTTGGAGCAGTTGTGGGTCGTCTGGGGACTCTCGGAACAGTTTTGGGTCGTCTTTGGTGGTCCTGGGCCGTCTGGGGACTCTTGGAGCAGTTGTGGGTCGTCTTTGGGGGTCCTGAGGCGCTCCCGAGGCGATCCGAAGCCCAAGAGCTTTGGACGCCACAACTTTTCCTTTAGGTTTTTCATGCTGCTCGCCTCGTCGGGCCTTGTTGGAGGTCTCCTTGAGCATCCCTCCTTGGGGCCTCTGGGGGCATCTCGGGGAGACTTTGTGAGCTCGTTGGACTGTCGTTGGATGGTCTTTGGGCGTCCTGCAGACGTTTCGGAGCGGTCTTTGGCTGTTTTGGAGCCGTCTGGAGGCCGAACGTGGCGCTGGGGAGCAAAACCAGGGGGGGCGGTGTTCGGAAGATGCGTGGTGCCAGGAGAGGGGGGGGGGTCGGCCCCAGAGCAGTCTAGCACGCCTTCAGCCGTGGTCACCGAGGCGAGGGCACGTCGGGTGATTGCAGTCGTCGGGCGCTGGGTCAACGCACATTCGAGCAGCATCGGCGAGGGCGCATCAATGATAGTTTTCGCCAACGTCCAGGAAGCACGCAAACTCCACGCTCGGGTTTCTTGCCCGTGCTCTCAGAGTTTGGCCCCGTCTGGCGCACTGTCCCGAGGCTGCCCCGATCTGCATGGCTTCGCTTCGGGTGGATCCCTGCAGTCGGGCGGATCACTGTGACCCTGATGATAATGATGATGATGCTGATGATGCTGCTGCTGCTGATGATGATTTTGTGAGAATGATGATGATGATGATGATGATGATGATGATGATGATGATGATGATGATGATGCTGACGATGATGCTGATGATGATGCTGCTGTGGTTGTTGTTGATGATGATTATGCTGATGCTGCTGAAGATGATGATGATGGTGACGCTGATGACTATGATAATGCTGCTGCTGATGATGATGCTGATGATCAATGATGATGATGATGGGGAATCAACTGATGCTGATGGTGATTCCGATGATGATGCCGATGATGCTGATGCTGCTGCTGCTGCTGATGCTGATGCTGCTGATGCCGATGCTGATGCTGCTGATGATGCGTCTGCTGATGATGATGCTGATTGGGATGGTGATGCTGATGATGCTGATGATGATTATGCTGCTGCTGATTATGATAATGATGACGATACTGATGATGATGCTGACGATGATGATGATGATGATGCTGATGATGATGCTGATGCTGCTGCTGATTATGATGATGATGATGATGATGATGATGATGATGATGATGATGATGATGATGATGATGATGATGATGATGTGATGTGATGTTGTTGATGGCGATGATGATAATGATGCTGATGCTGATTGACGCTGCTGCTGCTGCTGCTGATGATGATGATGATGATGATGATGATGATGATGCTGATGTTGCCGCTGCTGTTGCTGATGCTGATGCTGATGATGCTGATGGTGATGATGGTGATGAGGAGGATGACGAGGAACATGATGATAATGCTGGTGCTGATGATGCTGATGCCGATGATTATGATGCTGATGCTGATTATGATGACGATGCGGCTGATGATTATGATGATGATGATGATGGTGATGATGATGATGATGTTGTTGCTGATGATGATGCTGATTATGATGATGCTGCTGCTAATGATGATGATGATGATGATGATGATGATGATGATGATGGTGATGATGATGATGATGATGATGATGCTGATGATCATGATGATGATGATGACGATGCTGATGCTGCTGCTGCTGCTGATGATGATGATGATGGCGATGATGCTGCTGATGCTGCTGCTGATGATACCGCTGCTGCTGCTGCTGCTGATGCTGATGATGCTGCTGAAGATGATGATGATGATGATGATGCTGATGATGATGATGATGATGATGATGATGATGATGATGATGCTGCTGATGATGATGATGATGATGATGATGA